TGGGGCGAGGGGCGGGGGGCGAGGTGGAGGGCGGGGTGTGCGGTGAGGAGCGTCTCCGGTGGGAGATGTCGGGGGGTCAGAGGGAGTTCGTTTGCAGCGAGGAAGACGGTGCAGGTAGGCCCCATTCACCAGGCTGGATCTCGTTTCAGGAGGCTCTGGTGTTGAAACGGATGTTTCTTCATCTGCAGAATGAAGGTGTTTGTTCACTGAAGTGTTTTGAGACCCTCAGCAGCAAGTGCTGCAAATTCGCCTGCCCTTTCATTCTTCAGAAATCAAGGTTGGCTGTTGCTGTAGCAAAGCAGCTCCTGCAAGGACAAGAGCACTTCTCTCTCCGTGGCTTTATTTGAGCACTTTTCAAAGAATACTTGTGTAGAGTGCTGTGAGATTTGATTTATTTCCATTTTCTAAATTGGAAAATCAAAGCACTGAACATCACTACAACTTAATTTAAATTCAGATATTGGCAAGAAATGGAAATAGATTGCCTGAAGCTTGGTGGCCATTTTACTGTTTTTTGTGTTGGCATCGTTCTGTCCCAGAGGTTTCTGTGTGGTTTCCCAGCTTTTATTATTGGCTAGTTTACCTGAGTGTGTTGGGTTGACTTTGGGTGGCTGCCAGACCCCCAGCCAGCTGCTCTGTCACTCCTTCTTCAGGAGAACAGGGGAAGAAACAAGATAAAAAAGCCTTGTGGGTCGAGATAAAGACAGGGAGATCACATACAAATTGCCATCACAGGCAAAACAGATGCAACTTGGAGAAAATTAATTTACTTCATCGTTAATTTAAAAAATTAGAATAGAATGATGAGAGACATAGATTAAGATTAAAACACCTTCCCACCCTCCCAGGCTCTACCTCCTCTGCCCCCAGGCAGCACAGGGGGTTGGGGAATGGCGGTTGCAGACATAATATAGCAACTCCTCTCTGCTGCTCCTTTTTCGTCAAGCTCTTCCCCTGCTCCATCGTATTGTCTCTTCCATGGGAAACAGTCCTTCATGAACTGCTCCAGTGGGGGTCCCTCCCACATGCGGCAGTTGTTCATGAACTGCTGCAGCATGGGTCTTCTCCGTGGGCTGCCATCCTTCAGGATAAACCTGCTCCAGTGTGGGCTGCTCTCCACGGGCTGCAGGTGCTGTCAGAAAACCTGCTCCAGCATGGGCCCTCCATAGGCTGAAGCTCTGTTCAAGGCACCTCCACCTGCTGTGGCATGGGGTCCCCCATGGGCTGCAGGTTGGATATCTGCTCTACCATGGTCCTCTGTGGGCTGCAGGAGGGCAGCCTGGTTCACCATGGTCTCCTCCAGGATAATCTCTGCTCCAGCACCTGGAACACCTCCTCCCTTCCGCCTCTCACCTTGGTGTCTGAAGGGCTATTTCTCACACTTTTTTTCCCCTCACTCCTCTGTCTCACGCACTGCTGTGCAGCCTTTTCTGTCCTTTTAAAAATAAGCTTTCCCCAGGCTGCCACCATTGTGGCTGAGGGGCTCAGCTGTGCCCTGCGGTGCGTCCATTGGGACCAACTGTCTCCAGCATGGGGCCGCCCTGGCCTCTCCTCACAGACGCCACCCCTGCAGCCCCCCACCACCAGGACTTGGGCACATAAACCTAATACACAAAGGTACTGTTGTAATAAAAGACTTCAAAGTTAGTTTAAATAATTTTAAAAAGAGATCCTGTGAAAATTTTGTGTGGTCAGTATCTTTTTTTTTTTGTTCATTTGTTAACATATTTTGTAATTGGCTAAATTGCAATGGTTCTCAAGCTCTTAATCAGAATATTTCAGCTACTCTGCAATTTTACAGTATTAGCAGAAACTGAGATAGGCAAATTGTTCTATCTATCAGCAAGTCCAAGAAGGTAAATCACTAGGAGGCTGGTGCTCCAACTGAAGTTCCCAATTTGAGGAAGAGCTTCTAAAGAGGAGTCATATGACTTGTATAGTCTTCTACAGTATTTAGATCAAAGATAAATCTCCATTTTCTTTTATATGTGCAGGTAGTTATTCGACGGCTTCCTCCTTGTCTAACTAAGGAGCAACTGGAGGAACAGCTACATCCTCTACCTGCCCATGATTATTTTGAGTTTTGCACTGCTGATCCCAGGTGAGGATGAGCTGTTTGTGCAGGTTTTCAGGTTTTAACTTTCATTGGCAAAATGCAAAGACTGTTTATTGGCTGTGAGAAAGTGTCACCCTAGGGCAAATATCGCAGTTTTTTCATGGGTACCATTTGAGCTTAGTTTCTCTGTTTGTGTACATGTTTTTGTATGTATTTCATACAGTTTTTCACATAATCCCGTTCACTCATTTTTGTCTCATTCAAAACTAAAAAAAAAGTAGTGATTGATTTAAAAGAAACAGAATTGCTAGTTTATTTATATAATTCACTCAGTATCGCAGTGGTAAAATATGATTCCTTTTCAAACAAAAAATTTCCGGAAGAGAAGAAACTTAACCATTAAAATAAACAAAGCAGCCTGTATGCGACATCTGCACGTGTTCTGAAAAGCTGAAGTATAAGATCCATCTTGCCTGTCTTAGCCTATCTTAGTGTGCAACTAATCATCCTCCACGGGCACCTGATTCTTTCCATTGACTACGGAGGGATCCTGGATGTTTATTGCTGACCAACTTTAAAAGGTAGAGGTGGCTCCAGCCAGAGCAAACAGCCTTTCCTTTGTAGGGAGTTGTTTGTGGCAAATTGCACTTGGAAAGATCTAGTTCCTGGGCGGATTTTATTTGAAAAGATACTGCCACTTCTTGCCACCACTGTGTTACTAGGTGGTTAACTCTGACTGTATAGGTTCTCTCAGTCGGTTCCACAATCAGAAAGAAATGTCTGTTTAGCAAAATTTTATGGCAGTTGCCTGACTTAGGTGGTTACACGCGTGTGCAGCAACAAAATAGTAGATGCTTCAGCGTTTCTGTTAGAACCATAAAGGATGTGAAGTTAGGAAAGGAGAGTATTTAGTCTGATTGAAAGTCTTTGTAGTTACTTGCATTTCTCTTCTGAACCTCATCATCCGTATTTCCAAATGGGTCTCTTTAAGGCCTCTGTCCCAGCTATTGATTTGATAAGGGGAAAATATGAAAGGCAAATCAAAAATTCTCTGAAGAAGACTGTCTCTGTCCTCAGAGTGTTTAACTGCATAAATGCTAGGAGACAGTTAAAAAATTACAATTTTAGTCTTCCAGAACAATTGTTGGCCTAAGAATTTAGGGAGTCAGCCATCTTAGAAAAGAGAAGGCACTGACAACAGCTGTACATATAAAGTTTCATTTTCTCTCTACTTTTTGTGATGAAGTTTGAAGTACTCAAAAATCTTGTTGTCCACTCATTTAATTGCATCTGTGTTAGGCTACTGATGAGAGATATTGTGGGTTTTCTCTCATGCTGTGTTCTTCATCATGTACTTGCATATAGCTAGGGACAGAACATATGTTTATTTGTATTTATATATATATACACATATAAAAGTTTGTTAGATCGCCTATATGACACCATAGTTTGTTCTGGTAGAGGGATGAGGACATGCCTCAAACACTTTTAAGAATTTGTTTACCTTGAAGAGCAGATCTTGGTGATGAAAAATAACAAAACGTCTGAAGAAAATAAAGGTGTATTTCTTATATTGTTTTGTTACTAGACTTCAAGATGCAGCAAGCAAAAAATATACATTTTCAAACTTTTTTTTGAACAGTTAAATCTCTGATAAATGTTACTTGGATTGTCAATTTCCTTGAGTCCTGTTTATGAGCCCTGTAATAAAATAATGATCTGGGAGAAAAATGTTCCCTTCTTCCTGAGTTTTGGATTCATGTTCTCTTCTGCCTTCACAAATTTAAAGTCTCTAGAAAAGAGTGTTTTCATATAGATTTGAATTTTTCAAAATGAACTGTTTCATATTCACTTTTTTTTTTTTTTTGCTTCATCTTGCTTCTTAAAAGTTATGCTTTCATTCAAAAGATGTATTTTTTCAGAATGGGTTTATCTTTACAGGGTTTGTGTGGCTGCAACTTCTTTCAGCAAACTGCGCAGTTCAAACGGGCATTTAGCAGCAGTTCTGCAGAGTATTGGCTTAAATGATTATTTGTTCTTTGACTGGCCTGGAATCACCTTGCTTGCTTTGCCCACTTTGAATGTTGACACATGCCCATGTACATCTGTTTATGAGTTAACGTGTTCACACACTCTAGAATATACAGTAAACTTTCAGAAATGTGTTCACACACTCTAGAATATACAGTAAACTTTCAGAAATTTATTGTAAATTAGAGACAAGATTAATACAGTGAGTCTTAGTCTCCTCTTATCCAGTGGAGAATTCTTTTCCTGAGTATAAAGCATTGTGTTGCGGATGTCTGTCATGTTGTAGATAGTTCACCAAATTTCAGAAGACTCTGTGTGGATATGTCTTCATGCCATTCCAGCTCATGGGAAGAGCTACAGGATAAGATAGACGTTCTCTCTAGTGTCCTCTCTCTTTCACTAATTAGCTTTTTTCTAGATCATGTATCATGTGCACGGTGGCAACCAGTCCAGAGAATTCAGTGATAATAAAAACATGGGAAGGTTAGAAGCATATTTCACATTACTGAACAGAGAATGATTCGGAGGAGCTACTCAGTGAGGAGGATCTGTTTGTTGGAAAGGAGCATACAAATGTTTTGATGCAGAAGGAGACAAATTTGCCTTAAGAGCTGTAACGTCTGTGTTTAACTCCATCCTGTGTAACTCTAGCTAACAGAAGTTTCTAAGAGCTCATTCAGGTTTTTTCAAATGTGGAGTACAGACTCTTTTTTCATGTAACACTGCATTAAACTATAGAACTCCTTGTCAGAAATTGGTGCCAGAAATGAATCTATGAAAACTTATTAAGCACAAGGGTACAAGTTCTGTAGTACCAAGTTCCTAGGCTGCAAGTAGCTGAAATGATATACTAGGTGAAGTATCAGTGTATAGTTTCCCCTTTTTAATAAACTAAGCATTCTCTACTAGTTGCTGTTGGAGGGAGTACTAGAGAAGTCTAACTATAGCTGTTTCTACATTTTTATTTCCCAGGTCCTCTCACCCTAGAGGACAAAAAACAGTTGCAGTCCTACTTACATGCTTTTTACAAGAAATGCATTCTTGACTCCAGTTTCACTGTTTTTGCAGTCTAAAGGTTATTTTTAAATTTACAATGTGGTGTTTTTATAGGCAAGCTATAAAACTTTTAAAAATTTCATTTGATTAAGTAATGTCATTCATGTATAACACTTCTTCAATTACATCCATTTCAGTAAAATAATTTCAGAAAATTACTTTTGCATTGTGTTTCATTCACTTTTTCAGATTCACCTGATTCACTCACTGCATTACATTTTTTCTGTCTTGTACATTGGCATCAAAATGCAAACAGAACGCTGTTTCTGTGACTTTAGGGATGTTTGTTGGACAGACACACTGCCTATCACTGATAATAAAGACTCTGCCTTCCTGACAGTCTATCTTGTTCTCAGACTCCAAATATTAACTGTTTTTTTCCAGATGCTCTTTTGTCTGCGTGTAAGTGTTTCTGAGTCTTCTAAAACTTGAGTCAAGTGATTGAGCTCTGGCCCTGCAGGATTTTGTCATCGCTCAGGACTGGCACTGAATGCTGAGTGCTGGGACTCATTAATAAATGTGTTGTGAGGCTGTAAAAGTAGAGAGATCTGAACAGGAGCTTTGCTGATGGGAAAGGCAGTCAAATAGTTGATGCCATGATATATATCGCAGACAGTGATTAAGCTGCTTGCGAACAGCGCTCCTTTGCCCTTCGTAACTTCATCTCAACATTTTGCTCACGATTATTGTAGGCAAACAGCACTGATGGTGTAGGATGGCGGTAGGGACCCAGGAACTGCAGCTTTGAAGGGCGGCGCCTTTAGAGCTTCAACAGATCCGCCACTACCGTGTTCTGGATGGAATGAGTGACAATCTGTCGTTACAACTGTGTAGTCTGTCTGCTTCTCCACTGCCAAGTGAATTGTGCTTATTTATATCTGTAATTTAAAATTATGCCAGTTCCATCCACTGTGTGAATGACCACAGAGGTGAGAGACAAGAGGATGAAGACCAGTGGATTTTAGCTTGACCTGACAATGTAGATGATGAGTTATCTGTTTGATCAGAAATTATGTGATACATGAACGGATGGAGGAGTTCGTTTAACATTCCAAAATTTAGATGTAGAGATCTATATATTGAAGTTCATATACATGTAAGTATATATGTTTATACACACACACACCCCCCCACCCATGACTGGTAAATTGGTAAGTATTTTTGCTAAGATGTGATACCTGTTTTTATAGTTTTATAGTTTACATGTTGCTGTTTATACTGCAGATAACTATTCAAAATTGCTTTCCTGTATACCAGTCTTTTTACACAATTACATTAAAACATACTTTGTAGAAGAAGTAGACTATTAGGATGTATTTGTTATTAAAATTACTATGGAAGTAAGGGTTTAAAGAGATGATAGTCCAATTATTATAGGAATACATGTAACCTGAAAGATTGAGCACTCTTGAATACACAGCAGAAAACAAACTGAAGAAATGTGTATAGTCAGACTCATCTGGGTTATTTTCATAGAGATTACTCTAAGTGATATCCCAGAGATGCCAACATCATGTGCAGTGCATCTGTCCAAAACATGATATGGATGGAAAGCAGCGTTCTAGACAGCAAGCATATGGCAAAGCAGAACCAGCTGTCTGATTGTAAAGCTAACCACGCAACCTCAACACTGAATTTGAAATCCCAAATCAAATCTATGCTGGTAGATACTTGATAAAAGGAAGAGACTCAGAGAGTCCAATTGCCCTTCTGTAGGACTCAGTTGGAAGGCAAAATCCTGAAGAGCAAAAGCTGTATTTTATCCGATAACCGTTGAATATAAGGTACAAAAGTAGAGCAGAACTGTTTCTTTCTAGGAGAGGGTATTAGCCACAGAGTCCCTGTGGCCCTGTGAAGCCCCGTGCGTTCTTTGCTGTGCTGTTGCACTGGTGGTTTTTCAGTGGATACATGAAGAGGGAGCCCAGGGTGGGTGGAGGTGTGGGAGCTGCAGTTGTAAGTCAGGTGTCTGAAACGCAGACTGAGACAGTATTTCATATGCAGGCCAGTGCTAAGCCTTTCCAATTTGCTATGTTCAGTTAGCTTCCCATTTAGAGAGTGAAATTTATGCAATTTTTTTCAGGCACACTGCACACTTTGCTGGATAAAAAGCCCAAGACAGGGTTCTGAAACACTTGGCAATCAGGCTTTTATACACTAAGCATGCTGACATATGTTTCTCATACGAAAACCAACTATTTGTAGAAGTGGCTCCATCAGAGGAGGAACCTGTAATTGCTAAGCATTGTCGTAGCTGTGTTTGTACAGTCTTCTACCCTGATAGATAACGACAATTATGGACAGACAATCCGTTTTATTGTGCTACTGTGCACATCAACATCCTGCTCTGTGCAAGTATGGTTTGATTTTTTTGTATGTTTTTGCTGATGTGAATGAAGTTCTTTAAGACATTAATGATGTACGGCAACAACATTAGATCTCTTACTTGCAAGGTAATTTCTAAATCTCTGCTTTCCAGAGTCCAGTTTATACATTTCAGACTCAAGTTTTTTCTTACTAGTAAATGCTTAATAACCATATCAAATGATTCTCTGTTTCAAAAGATACTCTGATAAGCCTAAGCTGAAAATGTTAGAAAGATATGTTGTATGCCAGGAAAAGTTTGTGTTGCCAAAGCAGATGAAACAGATGGCAATGATGTACAAGCTAAAGGAAATAAGGAAGGAATAAGTCTTTGTATTTTCAGTTCTGTTTCATGATGGTTATGTGCCCAACCATAAGGTTCTATGTTACTGCAGAAGAAAAATAAAATTCCAATGATACAATGAAGCTGTTTGCTGTGCACGAGACAGAGAAGAAGTGCCACAATAATGTAGTGGCTGGGATACTTGTCTGAGTCTCAGTCTTTCATCTACAGAAAGTTTTAGTATTTTACAAAAGCTGAAGACGGGTAAAACACTTAAATAGTTGTTTAGAGTAGGAACTGAAACTCAGTTTCTCAATCTCGGATAATAATAACTGAACTGAAAAATAATGCTCTCTCAAAATTCCTGTTTTTGTCTTGTGAATCTTCAGCACTTCAAATGTATAATCATATCAGTCTCTAATATCAGGCCTCATTTACTTTAAACATCAAAGAACATGAAGCCTAAGAATAGTCTTGTTAACATGACAGGGAAGGAAGCTTACTTCTTCCTGGGAGCCAGCAGTTACCAAAGACACTTCTTCACCGTTCCAGCCATTAGGCAACACAGAGATGTTTCTTCCAGCACAGCTATAGGTTGCCACAATAAAATTTCCTCCTTTACATACATTTGTAAGCCTTTTTTAAAGATATTTTTTAAACTGAAAAGTGTTACATTTAATCTATTTTTTTGCTTTGAAACCAATGAGAAGGAAGCTGGCTTGTGTCACCTGCTTTGCATTTTGGTGGTGACTCCGTAGCCACCCTCGAGGTACTTTGTGCTGTATTTGCAGACCAGAGGTTTGCGAGTCTGATCACAGAGGACTCTGCAGGGTTTGCAGAACCCCATGGCAAAACACAGCCACGTGCCACCCTGCTCGTTCAGTCCAGCTTTCTAGAGGTTGCTTGCAAGTGGTCCATAGCTGTGTGGCATCTGTGTGGGCTGAGGCAGGTGAGGGAGCATGCCGTGCCTGTAGCGTCTTTCAGCACTGCCTTGTGTCAGCAGCATAGCCCTTGCCATGCCCTGGCAGGCGCTTCTGTGGTTACCTGCTTACAGTTCACTCAATGCTATTCCCATCCTATAATACCAAAATACAATGAGTATCCGTGGATGAAATGGCTCTTCCTTAGAATTAGCAAGTTTATCCTCTGCATGTTCTAGAAACACTCCTGAGCTGATATTTGCAAAACATCTAAAAGGTTTGTTAAACCTTTCTCCTGGCTGCAATATCAAACACAAATTTGATGGGTTTACAAAATCGTTGGTTAGTTATTGATAGCACTGCTCTTTATGGTCACCTTCTAACCCCAAAGTGGAATCCATATAGATGCACGTTTGAAAAAGAAAAAAAGACTTGGTTTGTAGTAACTGTGTTGCTTTCAGCTGCCATGTGTGTGGATCCTGTGATGCAATCCAAATTTTTGCTCATTCGCACTCATTGTGAAATCCCATTCTGAAATAGCTGTAGGATTGAAATAATGTTACAACTGTGTGTGTCTGTTGTCTCCTGCTGCTGGTGGTGAGTTGGATGAGGCTTTGAGCAATCTGATCTAGTGGAAGGTGTCCCTGCCCATAGCAGGGGGCTTTGGAACTAGATGATCTTTGAGGTCCCTTCCAACCCAAACCATTCTATGATTCTATGATTCTAAACAGGTATTTTAAAGCTAAGGGCTTATGTTCAGATATGTTCCAAAACCTGCCCTAATACATAGTCATCACTGAAGGCAGTTTAAACCAAACTGGTTTATATCATGGTTGCAGGGGCTTGCAGCATGTACATGCCATGACTCACAATAACTTAGTTGATGCATGGTAATTCATTAAATTACCTCAGTATCATTGTGGTTGGTTGTATGCCAGCCCTGAGGTTTTTATCAGCACATTAAACATTTACCCTTGGAGCGGGATCTATGCCAATAAACTCTTGAAGAATCAGAATCATTTTAGGTAAGTAGCTGTTCTTTCTTTTGCTAGAAATGCTTTGGATTTTCACAGTAATTGTTCTTCAGAACTAGACTTTGCATATATATTCATACATGTGTATGCCAGATGGAATTTATTCATTTGTATATAATTCAGTGGATTGTCTTGCCAATTATTACATTATTTAGTCTTTCTTAAAGATGGATGTCTCTTTAAATACAGCGACAGCTTGGCAACTGCCCTTTCAGAGGGAGCTTTTACTTACCTTTTGCTGTTTCAGCAACAGAAGACTTTCTTAGCATACCTAAGAAGTTCCCCAAAAGAACTGCTGTTACTCATATCTCTTAAATCAGAAAATATTAGACTTAAAGCTTTAATCCTGCACAATGGAAACGTATGCTCTGCAATTTAGGGAGACATAACAAAGTAGAAACATTTGTCTCAGTTCAGAATGAACTTCAGAGTTCCATCCAGGAACTCAGTTGCTTAGTTACTTTTTGTCATATATATAATTAGATATGTATATGTAAAGACTTCGATATGCATGTTTAAGGTAGCCATTCCTCAAAAAAGATGAGAATTGCAGTGTGATCCTTCTAGTTTTACTATTTTCCTAGTCCTGAACAGAACAGTAAATAACAGAAAATAAAATTGTTTCTTGTTGCAGCCTTTATCCTCATCTCTATTCAAGAGCGTACATTAACTTTAGAAATCCTGAGGACATCCTTCTTTTTAGAGATCGCTTTGATGGCTATGTCTTCATCGATAATAAAGGTTGGACTATTTGTAAGATATTAGATATGTTTCTACACATAACACCATTTTAGAACATTTTTTCCTTTTTGCCAGGGTTTTTGCTCAATATACAGTTAATTACATAAAAATATATTACAATCTAGCATTTAAAAGATAGTGAAGTGGAAAATACTTTTGTCCACGCGGTCTTGCTTGTTTATGTGGTGTGTATGCTTTATCTGCATTCTTGTACCTTAAGCAATGCACTATCAAGATCCTATTAAGATAATTATTTTATGCAAGCTTCACAACTCATCACAACAGTAACTGAACACTTGGAAGCATGAATCATTACCTCTTCACTGTGTTTCTCTGAGATAAAGTTGTGCCACTTATTCCAATCTTCAAAGAGCAAGATGAAAACTTGACTTCATCATTTTGGTTGCCCACTTTGAGATATGTACAGCTTGACTTTTTAAAGCATTTGCAGACATCTTGAGTTGAGTTCCAAGAAAAAGAGCAACAAAGTTTGTTTCTTTTTTTTAAAAGTTCAGTCTGCAAACGTTTGCCCAAGAGTAAAAAAAACTCTATAATGTAGGTGTGGATAAACCCCAGTCTCCTACAGTAGGATGAACCTACCATAGCCAAGAAATGGTGCTGTCCCTTTAGCAGTTCCTTGCCTCATTCACTCGTACCTTCTGTAAAAAATTGCATGGGTTGTGTAACACGGATATAGATTTGTGGGTTTCTTTTATAGATATTGTTTATTCTGTTCACTTAGTGTTGCAGAGGTCCTGCAAAAAGTAGTCCTGCCCACTTTTACTGGACAGTTGATCTCTGAAGAAACTGTCTGTCAATCTAACAAATTCCACTTCAGCATTTCCTACCCGAGACATTTTATAGGCTTCTAACTTAATCAGATTTGGATGGATTTTTCTAGAGATTGAGAACGACGCATTCCTCGCAGTGTGTGATTTCCAGATTTCAAATTCTGAGTGGTTTAGATGAAAAACTAGAAAGAAACTATTTTTATGATTCTGCCAAGACTTCACTTTGTCTAAATTAAGCACATTCTTCAGCATTATGTTGGATTGAAGCCAGAATATTCTGTACGTTGCAAAACAGCCTGGATACAGCCGGCCAGTTTGGCATGACTGTGCAAATAAAAAGCACAAGTTTTGATCGAAGGTGCTGTCTGGTGAGGCTTCTGGTGGCATTGCATCTGTGAGGCTAGAATTAAAACAAAGGTTACCAGGTTCAATAAGGTTAACAAATGTTCTAGCAGATTTAAGCACAGTTTTCACTGGACTTGAACAAAGCGTAATCTTGAACCTGCTGCAAGTGGAAACCAGGCAAAATTCAAAACCTAGACACAGTTCTGACTCAACTCCAAAAAAGAATCCGGTATTTAAGGCAGAATTCAACACAAAGGAACCATGCCAGTAAACGCAGGCAAGAAGTTGTGCAGTCCATCATAAATAGAAAAAAAAGTTTTGTAATTCTACGTGCTGAGGTTTACAGTTTTGATTCTGAAAGAAGGTGGTATGTTTTTTGATTGTGTATTACTCAGAATTTATTTATTTATTAAGCTTTTGGCCACAAAACTTCACAGAAGCAACTCAGTTGTTTCAGGTTGATTTCCCAATAGTACTTATTCACGTCAGACTGAGATTTTAGTTAAATTTTTCTAATCAATGAATATCTGTGAAGCATTAAAAGGGAATTATAAATTACAATGCAAGAATTTTATTGTGCAACAGTAGTCATCTTCATTTTGACAGTCTGTGTAAGCATATCCAAAAAATATGAAATGTTTATGTATAGAATTAAAATATAGACGTATTTTGCTTTGAATATAAATACTGCTATATGCAATTTTTCATTGGAAGTTTAGGATGGGATTGTGGAAACATTCACCTTTGATTTCAAGTAAGACTGCCCAACACGAGTTTCAAGAGTTTTGAAAATCGTACTTGAATATAAGGAATGTTTCTCCCCCCTTCAAAAAACTAAGCTTTGATCTCTTTTAAGGTTTGGAGTATCCTGCAGTGGTTGAATTTGCTCCATTCCAGAAGATTTCAAAAAAGAAACTGAAGAAGAAAGATGCCAAAGCTGGGAGCATTGAAGATGGTAAACATATTTTTATTGTCATCACAGGGGAAATAGATTCCATTTCTATCATGTATTGCAGAATATTAACATAATTTAAAAATTTTTCTTCACAGATCCAGAATATAGGAAATTTTTAGAGAGTTATTGTGCTGATGAAGAGAAAATCTGTGCCAATCCTGAGATTCTTTTGGGAGAGATTGAGGCCAAAACAAGGGAACTCATTGGTCTGTTTTCTTGATTTTTCTTAATATTGTTGAGAGTATTAAATGTCTTACTTTTATATCTTCATGCTATTACCTGCAAGAGCTGACCTATTCAGTCTAACAGAGATTGAGATTATCACAGTAAAATTTTGTTATCCAGCCAAATAGTGACAGGAAACACCCCACCTATTTTTTTTAAGTTTCTATGAGTGGAATCACCTGACTTCACTGGTAGTTTTGCATGCACAGTGGCTTCAGAAATAGGAGCTTAATACTTCTGAATACTTACAGATGTGTTAAAAGATGGAAGATTTGTTTTTAAAAGATAAAATGTGTTAAAATATGGAAGATTTATTTTTAAAAGATAAAATATTTGAACACTTAACAGTTGATTCCTGATATTTGCTGCTTTTATTGAGAAACGTGAAATGATTTCTCTTTGTTTTCATGGTCAAGGTTCTGCAAAAACTTTGAAAGTAAGGCAGCACTTGGTTTTCTGTATGCATGCAGCATGACTTTCACGGTCTCTGGGGGAATCTTTAGTAAGACCAACATTGAAACCTTCAATGCCAGTAGGTAGTTTTCAGGATGACATGGAATGTTCATGTGGCAACATGCAGAACACTTA